CTGTTGTTCTGTCTCACCCGCCTCGCCACTCCAAAAGGTATGTTTTTTACAACATGGTTCCTATGGCATGACGTGGGGATAAGGTAGCAGTGGGTGTCACTAGGTTTAGAGTAGAGTTTGGTGTGGACAACATCACCAACAGCATAGACATAGGTGTCTAGAAACTCAACGCCGTCCCTAGAGTAGTCGTAAGTAAACAAAATTGAAATTAATTCGAACAATTGAAACAAATCAAATTGGCGGGCAAACGATCCGTTTCATGATATGTATAAAAACAATACCAATCATCAGTGCCAAATAGAATAATGAATTGTAGCGCTATGACATGTTGCTTCTTTATAAAATAATTTTTATCGATCATGAAACATTTTCAAAATTATCAAAATTTACAAAATTTCCAAAAAATCCAAAAAAACAGTTTATTGTGTCCGTCCCAATTTTAAAATTGTCTATGAAGTAAGGTAGTAAGATATCTTTGGCTTTTAAAGTTGTAAACTGTGTTGGCCTTCGTGTAGTGGTAGAGGAAAATTCTTTACTGAGTTCCGTGAAGCTGGTAGAATTAGGATCCGTATTTGCTCCTGCTTAACTGCAGTCGAGCACTCTCTTCTATTTGGGAAACCAAACAACAACTATTTATTATATATATATAATATATTATTATTATTATTATATTTTCGTTTGATTATTATTCAGTATATTTTAGTTTTGTACCGTTTTAAGTCACATAGTTTTGTACGTCTTCCTAAGACTTGTTTTCCTTTCCTAGTTTGTAAGTTATTTTAAAGATTTGTGAATATTTCAGTTGCTTTTAGAACAATTTTATCTCAGATAACGATGTTTAATAAAATGATGCAAAGACTTATTTCGAAGATCTAATCAACACCGACTTTTAATGTGTAGGAGTACAGCTACAAAATATATATATATATATCTCTCTCTCTCTCTCTCTCTCCTAACTTAGGTAATTTAAATTGCGTAATTTAAATTTAAATTAGCTTACGTAACAACCGTGTAACCGCCGTTGTTGCTAGTGATAATATATATTATATGGATTTGACATTGTGACATATTAGTCACACAATGTGCTGCACACACCTCTTGAGGGGATAGTCTCTGTCTAATAATTAAGTTTAGTTAGATTTATTTAAAATTATGATGTGTCTGTGCAAAAAATTGGCTTGTCCAGTTTAAGTGACAGTATGACGATGGTTGTGTTGTCATGGCAACTGGTTGTGTTGTCATGGCAACTGGTTGTGTGTTAATTTCTCGTTGTCACGCCTACATTACATTGGCAGATTCTAATAATATACTGGAAGTGTATTAATTTTATGTAGCAGCCCTGAACCACCGTATTTCGAGCTTGTGGCTATATTGACGTGTTGGTTGTAGTCCGATAATAGATATGATAGTGTTTTATTTAGCTTTGTTACAGTGGCCTACGTGGATTTTGAGTGAGACAATATGGCCGATCCCTGCTGAGAGCGTGATTTAAGGATGATCTCAAGTTAATGAGCTTAAAATTACTTTACTATCTCTTTAGTTGAACTTTGTGAAACAACTCCGGGTTTTCGATTCTTCAATCTCCCAAACATAATACCAAGTTTTGCAGAGTATATAACACAATATTGTGACAATTACCCAATAATTCAGTAATTTCATGTCTAATCGGGGCCTTTACTTGTTCTCGTTCTTAGGGGAATGGTTATTGTACAGAATCAACTGACTGGATCTTTTAAGCCAGTGATTGTTCATTGTTCAAGGGGGCCCATACAGCAGCACCAGTGTATAAGTTTCATTGTTGTTCCTTTGTTCATCAATTGAACCAATTGTAACGCTTTAAGAACACAACTGCGTTGCTAATAAACACAGTGACTTACCCTGGGATCAGGTCATGACAGAAGGTTGCCATGGTTACTGTGTCACTACTGTATAAGCACTTTCGGTTTGGGAACTACTGCAGGTACATTATTATTGTTCATAATAATGATACAAGTGTCAGGTATGGTACAGTACACTGACCATGTGTATTTTAATTGCAGTATTGTTCCTCACCATTCACACCGAGTAATTAATTATAATTTCACCAGCCAGCACGTCTATACAGTCTCTCTCTCTTTCTCTCTCTCTCTTTCTCTCTCTCTCTCTCTCTCTCTCTCTCTCTCTCTCTCTCTCTCTCTCTCTCTCTCTCTCTCTCTCTCTCTCTCTCTCTCTCTCTCTCTCTCTCTCTCTCTCTCTCTCTCTCTCTCTATCTCTCTCTATCTCTCTCTCTCTCTCTCTCTCTCTCTCTCTCTCTCTCTCTCTCTCTCTCTCTCTCTCTCTCTCTCACACTCCTTCTCTCTCTCCCCCTATCTCTCTCTCCCCTATCTCTCTCTTTCTCCCCATCACTATTTCTCTCCATCTGTCCCTTTCCCTCTCCAACTCCCTATCTTAATCTCCCTCTCTTCCCCTCTCTCCCTCTCTCCCTCCCTCTCCTTTTACTCTCCTTTCTCGCTGCTCGCTCTGCCCTCGCTTTCTCTCTCTCTCTCTCTCTCGCACTCTCCCCGTATCCTCCTCTCCCCATCTCTTTCTCCCTTTCCCTCATCCCCTACATCTCTCCCTTTCCATCTCCCCCTCCCTCCCTCTCTCTCTCTCTCAGTCCCTCCCCCCTCTCTCTCTCCCCCTCCCTCTCTCTCCCCCCTCTCTCTCCCCCTATCTCTCCCTCCTTTTACTCTTCTTTTGATGCTCTTCTTACCTTTTCTCTGGCTCACCTCACTTTGCCTTATCAAGCATAATATATCGCTTTGTCTTGATTCGTGAACACAACGACGGTAAAGCTGTGTTTTATTAGTGTGTAACACGTGACGACCATATAAGGTGTGTATAGATATTATATACTGCTTTGTATAGTGATCCAGTTTGAACTGGGCATTTGACCATAAACCTGACTTTTATTCGCCTTTCTCTCCGGTACAGGCTACAGTCGCTACAGCTTCACAATGCTTTTCTTGCGGGGATTCTCTACACTAGTTTTCTTTTGTTGCGCTGTTTTTCTCTTTACTCAAAGTTATATAAGGAAAGGTACTTTTTTACTTACAATATGTTAACACTAACACTAATATTTCAGTGTTTCATCCTTGTCCTCCTACTTGATATTCGTTTTGAACCCGTTTTGCTTAATAGTGCAAGGTTGATAACACTTTTACCGGGTGCGGCAGTTTATTTGTTCTTATTTCCTCTCTTCCTTATTTGCTTTGAACACTTTTCTGTAGAATGTTAAAGTTATGGTTCACGTTTCTTTTTTTCCTTATCGAGAGTTATCTTAATAAAATTTACATTATGTGCTCCATGGAAATTATGAAAGTTCGAAAATGAAATTTTAACGCGGTACACGTGAGCGTACACTAGAATATGGATATTATTGCCAAACATGTGAGCTCTCGGTGACTTGTCTCAAGCGATTTAGTGAGCGAATGCCTAGTATTTTACCGTAAGAAATATAATGAAGAGAAGATATTTTTGAGCAGGTGCCTAGTGTTTTACAGTAGAAAATAATATGTTGGAATGAAGTTATTCGTTCTTTGGAAAAAAGGTCAACTTCCACGGCAGTCCGATCACAAATTAGAGAGCTAGTTTTACGATAGTATCTCCTTCTAAAACACATGTTTCCATGTCAACAGTGACAACTCTTGTGCCGTACTTGTAATTTGTTGAACTCTTGAATTCCTTAAATCGAAATGTTTTATGCCCATATTTGGGAATGTGGCCAAATCAATCTTTGTTAAATGTCAATCTTTTTAATGAGAGCTTTTTTAGCGTAATCTTCCTATCTACTTATACTGGAGTATTTTAATGTAGGAGGCTGAAGTCACTTAGGACCATACAATTGACTTGTAAAGCATTCTTTTCTTTAATAGTTTTATAAGCGTACTTGATGTATTAATGTATATAATACGACTTGAGTGTACGACGACCGATCTAACCTAATTAATTGATCGTTAAATCTTCTGATCTCAACCTTAATTTCTTAAATTACGGTCATCGTGGCAGATTTTTTGCAAGCTATTCTTCCGTTAACTGTATCTTTTACTACGTCGAAACAAGCCGATATAATAAAAGCAGCAAAACTCGTTCTCCTCCTCCAAAAACACCAAATTACCACTCTTCTTTAGTCCTCACTTATAATCCACACACATACAGTGGAAACGTGCTCCTAAACATGTAAAATGTAAGGTAGTAGTAGAGACGGTCCACTTCCTGCAGTACGGAGCAGCTGAGTAGTTCGTGCTGGTAGCACTAATCGGGCTGGGGAGCCCGGGGTAATTACAATGTGTAGACTGGACCACCGTATCTTCAATAACAGCTAGCTGCATATTATATCCTACATATTGGATGAAAAGCTCTAATATATCCTGGCCTACATATCATACATATCCTACATATTCTACATACATACTATATATCCTATTATATAATATATATATGTTCTATCCCTAAATATCAGGTACATATTATCCAATATATCCTCTTTATCTTACTGGTTAAGCTACATAATGTAACCGTGTATGTTGAACCCTAAATTTCCGGACAAATCCCTATGGGGAGGAGAAATAAGGGAGTTAATATAAGATGATCTGGTTGATTGAAGGATTATAGTCTTAGACACTGTGTAGCCATGGACACCATGTTACCCTGGTTACTGTGTTTCTACGTAACACTGGAAAATGGTAATTGTGTAACACTGGATATACGGTGGAACCTTGGATACCGTGTTCTCAAAAAGATTGTAATGATTTTCGACAAATTCCTTCCAGTGTTCGTTATTCATATATTGACTTCCAATGAATGTTCCCAATGTTTTAAAATTATGAGCCCATATTTTGATGAAAATAATGCCATATTTGATTATTATAAAGGTTTATAATGAAGATAATAAAGTAATAATTGGGGATTTATTGCGATTGAACGTTACTAACAGAACATCATGACATTATTATTACATCTTTACATTGGTAATAAAGAAAACATTACAGCTTTAGCCATGCGTTAGATATGTTAAGATTATGCTGGACGCTGTCAAGATATGATCCCAATAGAACCTAATCTAAATCATAACGATGGGGTGTCTCTGCACGAAAACGCAATCTCCAGACCAGTTTGAAGGTAGTTATACAATTTAGTTTATTATTTAGTTAAATATTAGTTCAATTTCAGTTAAATAATTAGTTTATTTAAGATTGAACACACTTTAATATTTGACTACTTTAACTGGAGGGGCGGCTCGAATTTTTTTATTACTTATAATATACCAATTTTAAATGGGTTATTTTTAGGAGTTATTTCTGTTTTTTATAGCAAAAATGTACGTCACCTTCCTACCAGGAATCAAATATTTTCACTAATTAGTAATTACCTTACTTCATATAAAACTCCATGAATTATAAGTTTTAAATAGTTTGAATTTGAATACTGATATATTATCGCTTTTATACTTTTTTATATCCAATCGTTATAATCATTGTATTATTGTTAATAATTATATCAAATAGATCTTAAGGCTGAGCGTGAGTTTGAGACGAATTTAGCTTTCATTTTAGACTTCACGTCTCCCGAAATAAAACTGCGAACAAAGTGAAACAAGGAACTAAGTAAACTGTAAAACCAAATTTTCGTCACGCATTGGACTTTATCAAGGTTACACTGAAAAGGGGAGGTTTGATCTCTGAACCAGAGAGTGTGGTAATTGGGTTAGGAAAGTAAACATACATGCGACAAAGATCAGGGTTACCATTAGGAAGAAAATTTCAGCAAAATTTGTAGAAAAGGGGTGTACACATCCATGCGAGAAAAAATCGGGTTACCAATAAGAAAAATCACAACAGAGAAAGTTTACAACCCTCAGATCAGCGTAGTAAAAGTGTACTAGAAATTAGTCTGTAAAACCGTTTCCACACATGTTATTGATTTTCGGTTTAGTGTGTTCTATTGCTAAGCCTTCTCTTATAAAGGTATCTAAGGTATCCTTACATTGTTCTGATATGCTAAATTCGTAGTTTTCGAAGAATTTTGCTAAGTCTCTTTTTCCCGATATGGGAGTGTAGTGTGGGTCGTCTGCTCTGCGGTGTTCAGCAGCGTGGTATCCTAGTGTGGTCCTGCTGTTGTTGAGTCGGAAGCTAGACTCGTGTTCGTAGATTCGACCTCTAATAGGTCGTCTTGAAGCTCCTATGTACAGATCTCCGCATTTCTTACATTTTGCTTTGTACACGTAGTGTCGGGTGGTACAGTTGAGATCTGCCTTGCAGAGTTCGCACTCGCATATCTCGTCTTTAGATGGTGTGCTGATGATGCTCCTGACAGCTTTCCCCGCCTGTGTCACTACTCTGGCGTTTATTCCCAGTTGCTTGATCGATGAGTTGACTCTCCTGGTAAAGCTCTCGTTAATGTACGGTATCTTCAGGATAAGGCCAGAACCCGACCTTATCCTGAAGATACCGTACATTAACGAGAGCTTTACCAGGAGAGTCAACTCATCGATCAAGCAACTGGGAATAAACGCCAGAGTAGTGACACAGGCGGGGAAAGCTGTCAGGAGCATCATCAGCACACCATCTAAAGACGAGATATGCGAGTGCGAACTCTGCAAGGCAGATCTCAACTGTACCACCCGACACTACGTGTACAAAGCAAAATGTAAGAAATGCGGAGATCTGTACATAGGAGCTTCAAGACGACCTATTAGAGGTCGAATCTACGAACACGAGTCTAGCTTCCGACTCAACAACAGCAGGACCACACTAGGATACCACGCTGCTGAACACCGCAGAGCAGACGACCCACACTACACTCCCATATCGGGAAAAAGAGACTTAGCAAAATTCTTCGAAAACTACGAATTTAGCATATCAGAACAATGTAAGGATACCTTAGATACCTTTATAAGAGAAGGCTTAGCAATAGAACACACTAAACCGAAAATCAATAACATGTGTGGAAACGGTTTTACAGACTAATTTCTAGTACACTTTTACTACGCTGATCTGAGGGTTGTAAACTTTCTCTGTTGTGATTTTTCTTATTGGTAACCCGATTTTTTCTCGCATGGATGTGTACACCCCTTTTCTACAAATTTTGCTGAAATTTTCTTCCTAATGGTAACCCTGATCTTTGTCGCATGTATGTTTACTTTCCTAACCCAATTACCACACTCTCTGGTTCAGAGATCAAACCTCCCCTTTTCAGTGTAACCTTGATAAAGTCCAATGCGTGACGAAAATTTGGTTTTACAGTTTACTTAGTTCCTTGTTTCACTTTGTTCGCAGTTTTATTTCGGGAGACGTGAAGTCTAAAATGAAAGCTAAATAATTATATCTAGCATAAATTCTTGATGATTATTTAAGTTTCTTAATGAATGTTGTATATCAATATGAAAATATATCTCGTCTTTAAATTAACATTTAATTAAAATTAGTTTAATTATCGATCCTCAGCTCAGTGGATATAATTAGATTATAATACATATTATCATGATGATCGTATGCATTTTTCACACATTATTTTCACGATGTTGCTCTACAAATTTCGCACGTTAATAAACCTTTATAAACGTTACATACGTATAATCAAAGGTTCCCTAAAGAAAAGGTTGCATTTCAGCGGAGAAGCAACGACCACCAGCACTATGCTGCTTGTACGAGTCTCATCCTCTCCGCAAACTATGCATCTACATCGCTCGTTCCCGGTAATTACGTAATCACTTTAATTATCATCAATTACTGGTAATTACTTAATCACTTTAATTATACATCAATTGCTTACTTCCACATGTTTTAATTGAAATTTCACGAATTTATGATGAAATGATACTACTGCAGCTTGTAGCAGCAATCAGCATCTTACTGATCTTCAAAGAGAATTTTTAACCAAGGGATAGCGTTAGGGAGAGATGTGGTTACATGTTAGATGTTTTGACACGTTACAGTGATTTTTCAATTTGAGGATAAGATTGGTAGTCTATAGTTGGTGCTGATTGGTTAATCCCTGTCACGTGACCCACCAGTTTGAGCTAAACATGCTCAGGACCTACTTAAGCCACTAAATCTGGACTATTGTTTGGAGACTCCTTTACTAGTAGAGCGCAATTAGCTGGTGCCCACAAGCTTGATTCTGCATACTTAAAGCAATTAAAATGTCAACTCTGCGTGAATCCGTATTATGTGGAAAGTTGGTGACAAAAACAATTTTTTCCACAAAGTAGATATACTTTGTTGTAGCTATGTTTGCATTGACACAGTAGGGTGGGGAGAAAATCGAAAATAATAACCCATAAATACAGTACGAAGTAATGGTGATTTTTTACTCATATCAGCCAAAATACCTGAAATAATCTGATCTCATAAGATCGTTAATTGTCAGTTGTGGTTAATTGTCTGAAGGTCCTCAGAATAAGTCAGTCAATAAAGGGAACTATAAATGAGTTAGAGTATTTAGGTGTCGTTTCCAAATTCCTCAGATAATGGATCACATTTAAGTAAGTTGGTCATATGAAATGCTTGTCAGTACCTTCTGAAGTGTCTTCTGTTTCATGGGCATGCCAAATTAACGGCTTCCCGATGCAGATGGAGTTATGCCGTGAATTTTGCGCGACACATTCTGGAGCATTTCAGCTCCCGAATGGCTTTAAAGCGGGAAGTCTTCAACTTAAAAATAAAGTGATCAGTCAGCAAAAATCCGTCCGAGACCTTTATAATGTGTTCATGTCCTCTACAGTCTACATGAGTTTGTAGGAAGTTGAGACTTGAGAGGATTAGTACCACTTACTTCCCTTTTTTACGATACAGACACAATGTCAGCAGTTGATGAGACAGCTCTTCTAGCTTGGTAATATTTTTAGCTGTTGAGAGGTCCGATCACATTTATATTTGGTATCGGAATGTTGCCATTTTTGGCAGGTAGGAACCGCGAGGAGTACCCTCATAAGAGGCAGAAAGATATCCTAATTAAAGTCATTTAAGTTATTTGGTTGGGGAGGCGGATTATCGTTGTGAAGTACTGTTGTAAGTACTGAGAGCAAGCTCAACTGACGGCTCCCAGATGACGTATGCACATGAAGGTGAATCGGTCCCGATCAAGTAGTTGGTTGGGCTGTGATTGTATCGACCACAAGTACCAAACAAGCAGATATTTTAATTGACTAGATTTCCAAGCAATTCGCTAAATCATGGGCCGGCATAGTGCCGGGGCGGGTATGATCCGCCAATCTCCGAGTTAATTAAAGTCACAGTTATTGCGGATACTGATGCAACAAGTGGCAGACGATTTTTTTCTATACTACCCGTGTCCGAAGCTGTTCAGCTTTCAGCGTCTAGGCAGGAAATTATTATCATCAAATAAAAGTTCTAAACAAGGGATAGTCAATAAGTCTAAACTTTCCCTAAAATTAATAACTAAATGTCAAAACCTTACTGTAGTTTCTGCCAATATCTCTTATCATAAGCTAAATAAGCAGGAAAAAATATCCAAATTAATCTAAGTATATTTTGGATTCTTGAAGTGATGCATAAAGTTTTCCTGGACTCCCAAGTCCTCCTGGTCCTCCATAAGACCAACCACCCAATTAAGTTTTGTGGTAGACATATTACATAACTCACCATGGTACTCTTCAGTCTTCCTGATCAAATTTAGATTTAGGCTGCAGATAAACGGCACGTATATTACCGTTCTAATTACGATATGTGTCCTACCAATAGTCTGAAGAGAGTAGTGCAGATCCAGTCCAATTAGAGAGTGGTGCAGATCGAGTCCAATTACTACTCTTAATCTCCACACTAACTCTCTATAATATTCTCATCTCTCTTTCTTTCTAGCTCACTTAGATCTCACTGACTACATCACAATGTGAAACAACACCAGCTGCTCCTGGACTTATTGGATACTGGACAACAGCTTAGCTCCAGCAACCTCCAGGATTTCGATCTATTAACCAATCATACTTACAGTTTACTGGACATGAACTGTTCCGGGATCATGGTTTTACTGTGCCGACAATTAGTTATTAGCGTTAAAAAGTTTTATAGATAGACAAAAGAGTCAAGCTCCCCAACCTTTTGATCTTAAGATAGAGCATTCAAGTGTTTATTAATGGGCAGGTCTTTCTGGAGAATTTCTGCATTGTCCGGATACAACCTCACTGGATTTGAACTGACTCATTCCGACCCTATTCCACATTCCATACGCATACCATTGTAGCCCAGTAGTGTGACGTCATGACACGTGGTGTGACGTAATGACACGTGGTGTAGCCCAGTAGCATATCCACACTGGCACTGATATGTTGTGCATGGTAGCACAACAGTGACTTCCTTCAAAGTAGAGCAATATATTCGTATAATGCACTAGACTATGAAACCCACTTACCCACTGGACAGCTATTGTTTGTGAATAAACCTGGACGAGCACAACTGGGTTCATCTCTGTGATCTACATTGCCTTATAATTATATAAATTACTACTGTGGGTAATATCCGGTAATGATATGAAATTTAACTTAAATTATAGGATTAAAGAATATGGTAGAATGTAAATCAACAAAATAATTAGCAAAATAAAGAATCAACAAATTAACGAATAATGGTGAAAGATGTGATATTATGCATGAAGAATGAAGACACCCTGAGCTGCATAGCAAACAGTATGTGGATATTTCGCAATGATAGCAGAAAAACTAAGATGCCTCCCATCAAATAGTTTTCAGTGAATAATATAATATAAACCAAGTTCAGTAAATATATATTATATATTCTAGATAAGGTAAGTTGTATGCTTAACATTTAGTTCTAGATAAGGTACTGTATGTTTATAAATCTAGTTCTAGATGAGGCACTGTGTATTTATAAACCTAGCTTAATACTCCGATACACTAAACTGTTCTGTACACTTCTTCAATAAACTCCGCATTGTCAACGCTCTCCCCACAAACCAAATTTCAACTTTCTTGTCCACGCGAAACTCTCCTAAGAAACGGAAACTACAAACAAAAGATTCCAGCTGTGACCTTGGTACAAATTAACCGTTTGACACCTCGCTACAGTTTGCTTACCATTTCAAGCCTCCTACCCGGAGATAAACCCGCTCTCACTCTAGAGCAGGTCTCTCTCTCTCTCTCTCTCTCTCTCTCTCTCTCTCTCTCTCTCTCTCTCTCTCTCTCTCTCTCTCTCTCTCTCTCTCTCTCTCTCTCTCTCTCTCTCTCTCTCTCTCTCTCTCTCTCTCTCTCTCTCTCTTCTCTTTCTCTTCTCTCTCTCTCTCTCTCTCTCTCTCTCTCTCTCTCTCTCTCTCTCTCTCTCTCTCTTTTTTTCCTCTCTCTCTCTCTCTCTCTCTCTCTCTCTATCTCTCTCTCTTCTCTCTCTCTCTCTCTCTCTCTCTCTCTCTCTCTCTCTCTCTCTCTCTCTCTCTCTCTCTCTCTCTCTCTCTGTATAAGATACAACGTTTACCTGCTAAGTGTGTGTACTACACAGAGATATTGTAAACTAACTACTGAGAGAATTGTCGGGTGGTTCCTAAAGGTAACGAGTGTAATGTTCCATGAGTATTGAGTATGTCCAAAGAAGCGGTCCTTGCCCCCTTTTAATCCCTGTCCCTCTCTTTCTCCCACCTTCTCTCAGCTGTTTAGCTATTTTATGTAAATATGATACGAGATGAGGGAAGGCGAACCTTTGAAACCCCCTCTCTCTCTCTCTCTCTCTCTCTATATATCTCTCTCTCTCTCTCTCTCTCTCTCTCTCTCTCTCTCTCTCGTATATAGAATATTATATAGAAGTGTGTGTACACGGGCTCAGTAACGTTAAACATACCTGATACTGCAGCCATCAAGATTACCTACTGCTTACAAACAGTGTACAAGATTACCTACTGCTTACAAACAGTGTACAAGATTACCCACTGCTTACAAACAGTGTACAAGATTACCTACTGCTACAAACAGTGTACAAAATTACCCACCGCTTACAAGATTACGACTATAACTCAAATAATGACACGACTCATATTTTAATGGTATAAACAATGTCGGCCACGTCATGGGCTGCAATGGTAGGGACCGTGTTTATTGGTCTGGTTAACAAATAATAACCTTAAGGTTATAATGTCTTTGTTTTGGGTAATAATGTTTATGTGTGGGGTAATAATGTTTATAATGTGCTCGATCACCGCAACATTGTGCTTCTGGAAGACGGCTCAGTCTTTCTGAAGAAATAGCAATTATCCTATCTTTGCTATTTTATACGATCTGGTGTAATATGCAGTGCCTCGAGCTCGTTCAGTCATTGATCTCATTGTATGTGGCGCTGACTCACAGTCTAGTGGATCATGTCCGCTCTCTCAAGTAAATCAAAATGATGTGATAATCTGAGCATAGATTCGTTAACAATAGGACGGCCAATTAATGTTGTTCCTTTGCAACAGAAGCAAAATCTGCTGTACATTTCTAGTGTGGATATCATACCTACCTGGTTTTTTTAGTTGCGGTTGTAACCAATATGCATTGTGCATTGTGCACCTTCTGAAATAATTGTGGTTACAGATCAATAGAAGTACATGTTCATTGTTCAAAGACTCTCGTGAGAACCCACAAATATGATATGTGCTCAAACAGAATATGCTGATGTGCGCGCCATTCATCTCAATCATTTCCAAAAGTGGACTAAAAAATAGAGATGATATTTAACACCCCATAATAATATGATGGATATGACATTGCACCCAGCATAATTATCTCGTACACTAGCACACACTGCAAGTATTATATTTTCCAGACTTCAATAGACACGTACTATATCTGACTGATATCTGAACAGCTATAGTTTGACTAATACAAAATAAATTCGAACGCTTCAAGTATAATTTGCAGACTACTGTACAATAAATCTGGACACTTCAAGTATAATTTGCAGACTACTGTACAATAAATCTGGACACTTCAAATATAATTTGCAGACTACTGTACAATAAATCTGAACGCTTCAAGTATAATTTGCAGACTACTGTACAATAAATCTGGACGCTTCAAGTATAATTTGCAGACTACTGTACAATAAAACTGGACGCTTCAAGTATAATTTGCACTTTGCAGACTACTGTACAATAAATCTGGACGCTTCAAGTATAATTTGCAGACTACACAATCTGTCTACTAAGATAACATGACGTGAATGAGACGTTGTCTCGTTGTGTATAATGTCTGAACACCAGAAGTTAACTTGCAAACACATTTGAGCACCAGAAGTATAATTACAGTTGTCTGTTATAATACCTGTGAGATATATGACACAGCGTGTGAACATGTGTAATCTGCGAGCAGGATTGTGTCGTCTGCCAGTGTTTATTATGAGCCGTATGAATACGGTAACTATTATGTGGTACCTCAAATGCCCCGTGTTTATTATAATTGCCAGTGTTTATAAGCATGTTATTACGGTAAGTATCCCCCTCTCTCTCTCTCTCTCTCTCTCTCCCTCTCTCTCTCTCCCTCTCTCTCTCTCTCTCTCCCTCTCTCTCTCTCCCTCTCTCTCTCTCTCTCTCTCTCTCTCTCTCTCTCTCTCTCTCTCTCTCTCTCTCTCTCTCTCTCTCTCTCTCTCTCTCTCTCTCTCTCTCTCTCTCTCTCTCTCTCTCTCTCTCTCTCTCTAAGATAGGGAGTTGGAGAGGGAAAGGGACAGATGGAGAGAAATAGTGATGGGGAGAAAGAGAGAGATAGGGGGAGAGAGAGAAGGAGTGAGAGAGAGAGAGAGAGAGAGAGAGAGAGAGAGAGATAGGGGGAGAGAGAGATAGGGGGAGAGAGAGAAGGAGTGAGAGAGAGAGAGAGAGAGAGAGAGAGAGAGAGAGAGAGAGAGAGAGAGAGAGAGAGAGAGAGAGAGAGAGAGAGAGAGAGAGAGAGAGAGAGAGAGAGAGAGAGAGAGAGAGAGAGAGAGAGAGAGAGAGAGAGAGAGCTATACGGGGACTGATGGTCCGGTTATACCATAACCGGAGGTAATTGTTATCTAGAAGGCTGTACTGGAGTAGCTTGTATAGAGAACACATGCGGTGTGTATATGTACCCAGCCTGCTCCGCGTCAATATTACTCACAAAATCAGCCTCTACACACACACAAACACACAAACAAACACACAAACACACACACACAAACACACAAACAAACAAACAAACACACACACACACATACACAAACACAAACACACACAAACACACACAAACACACACACAAACACACACACAAACACACAAACAAACAAACACACACACACATACACAAACACAAACACACACACACACACACACACACACAAACACAAACACACACACAAACACACACAAACACACACACAAACACACACACAAACACACACACAAACAAACACACACAAGCGCCAAGCTCTCTTTCCCTCTAATTTCACACTTGTCTACGCTCAATTACGTTGGTGACGCTCTCCAGGCAGTAAAGGCAGAAAAATTCCTGAAAACAAGTTTGAAATTTTCGCCTCTCTAGAATTTTTGTTTTTCAGGATTCCTACACAACTTCCTGGTTGGGTACGTGATGTCAACACATGTTTCTCTTTTTATAAACTGGAATGATAATAACTCAAAAAAAACCTTAGTTTAGTGAAGACAGTAAAATAATGAATACCTCATGATATCTCACATACTTACTTGTGGTCTTGAACGAAAAACAAACTTTTTTTAAAGGTATTTTTATATAAATCCTTTTTGGATATATTTTTATATAATATATATTATTTAAAGAAAATCAGTGAAAGCAGGATTAATGAACGAATAGTGTGACATTGGGTTCTCAACCATGAAAATTTAGAAGTCCCTACATGCTGTTCTTTCTGGCTCCATGTGCTAGTTAGGGGTCTGAGGTATCCGAAAAATCATGTTTTGAGTACCCAAAGTGTTCTGGGTGCCAGGAATGAGGTTATTAAAGCGGCGAAAATGACCGATTTTGGACTATTTATGAGCTTTTTTGCCCATTTTCATGAGATAAAGAATCAGGAAAGCTGCTCTAGATGATTGAAATGGTTGATACCAATGAGGATACACCCAACACACATAAATATTCGTGATATATGTGATTTTAATGAGAAAAATATGATCTCAGGGCCCATTTTATACCAAAATTTGCCAAAACCACTCGCACTTGTCAAAGCTTCCTCATTTTAGACACATTTAATGATTATTATGGTATCTAACTTATGGTGGATCTGATAGGAGTATGTCTTAGCTTCATTTTAAGCCATCAATGAGCATGCTGGTGTGTATGAAAGTACTTTAATCCTCCCGTCCATTGATATAGTCTGGGCATTGGGCCATGCGCGCGCGCGCGCGCGCGCGTTTACAAACATGAATTTTCTCCCTCAGTATCTATCTAAAGCTTTTAAAGACATGATTTGAATGCTATCCTACTCAGCACATGAGTGCTACAGGATGGTGAAAGAATTTCTATAAAAAATCATTAAATGTGGAAGATATGAGGTCATTATATGTATGTGCGCGCGCGCGCGCGCGTTTACAAACTTGATATCCTCAGTCCTTCCACATATACTGAGATTTTGTTTCAAACTTAATTGACTCTGAACCGAAATTGCCAGAGGAAACAGATAGTGTAACTCAGAAAGACCACAAATGGATAGTTTGTGAGATATTGAGGTTATACTCCAAAAAATGTACAATGATGTCACACCAGAAAACCCCTATTTTTGGTATATTTAACCTCATATCTCAAACGCGCAGTACTGGATTGAGCTAAACTTGGTCAGGTTTTGTAGCCCTGACTATCCTCGATCATATGGAACAGGAATAAAACTGTTTAGATGTTATATCTTAATTATATTAGGCACTTAGTTCTGAAAAGTGAGAATGTCATTAATACTGCTTTCACTGAAATATAATTCTTCTGTTTCAGGCCGTTCGAGATATTCATCTACCTGGCTATCTTTGCGAACTGTGTCTCCCTGGCTATGTACAAACCAATGCCAAAATCAGACGTGGACGAGACTTCGAGCGTTCTCGTGAGTACTTTAACTTTTTACCTTATTTTTAGCCAACTATACAACGGCCGCGAAAAAATGGCCTCTAAATTCAGAACGTTTTGAGTATTTCTATTGTAATTTCTAACTTATAACGGTTAGCTTTTCACGGCTGTGGTGTAGTTACTTGGTAAGTGTTTATACTTGAAGTAATTTTTCGATGGAATAGTTAGAGTCTGTATTTGACTTTTCAGTAAAATATAGACGGCTTTTCAGCATTATTTTTCAGTCAATACAATTCTTAGTTCTTGCACTGGGCTAAATTATTTAAAAATACAATGTGAAAATGCATAGGTAGAGTGAAATGATTATTAATTAATTAATTGATTAATTAACGAATTAATAAATGAATGTTTTCAATTCCAGGACACGTTAGAGTACATTTTTATCGGAATTTTCTGGGTAGAGAGCATAGTTAAGATAATAGCACAAGGGTTTATGTGTCACCATGGTTCTTATCTTCGGTCTTTCTGGAACGTGCTGGACTTTTTCATCGTTATCGTCGGGTAAGAACAGCAAATATCAAATCAGTATTATGTGATAGTAAGTTTATAGACTAGATTATTTTGTTTATAATACGTCCTTGATCAACTTGTTTTCATCATTTTGTTTCAACTTAATTGATAAATTAATTTACTATTCAATTTCACTTTCAGTACACTGAGTGTGATGAATTTAGAGACGGGAGGTATAAAAGCGCTTAGAGCGTTGAGGGTTCTGCGGCCTCTCAAGTTCATCGCAGGTTGTCGACGTAAGTCAGGATCCATTTTTTGGTAAATCACTTACCTCAGCTCTGTTAGAAGTTCATTTCTCTGAAAACTTTCTAGCAGCGTGATTGCTCTTGCAGATAAATGGGTAAACATAAAAGTTGGTCTAGCTGTCCAGTTAAAATCTCTGAATCACATCAAATATGCTATTATAAACACACGGCGTCTTTTTATGTAAAACCACCAGTACAGTCTACAGTTATTTAAAGTACAGTATGCTTATTTATGGGTACTATCAGAAATGTTAGTAATATTAGTAATATTATTAGTCTCTCGATGGCACCTAATCGACTAATTATTAGCCAGTAGCTTTAAATCAATTTTCCAATCACAAAAGTTTGTGCATCACGCTATGGAGCTACTATTTGCAGTATGCACCCTTGCTATAGTCGAATATTTATAGGTACTTCTATCTAATAAGTGGTTATTGAATTAACGTAATTGTCAAGCACCATGGAGGCTCAGAAAGTGAGTGCAGCATGTATAAATAGTTAAAATGTTCGTTAAAATGTTCGTTAAAATGTTCGTTAAATGTACGTAAAATGTACGTATATATATATTATATAAATCAAATTATACTTTTGTTAAAGCTGGTTAAAACGGTGCTTCATCAAACCTAAATTCTGTAATCTGTATGTCTGAAATGTGAAAAGTGTCAATGTTTGCTCTAAATCTGGAGCTGTAAACCTCATGAAGTTTATGCACGTGCTTTGTTTCTGTGTCCACCTGTTGTAAAGTTTCTTATTTACAAGAAATAGCATTACAATACTAGTTATAACTACTGTGGACAGCAGGTGTTTTACAGGTTCTGAAGCTAATATGTGAGCATATCATGGCTAACTCAACTTACTTGTGCTTCAAGACTTGTAAACGTCCCGAAAATGTGTGACAGACGGGCAAAAATTTCACGGCTACAGATTTTGTACTTTTATTGATTCGATGTAAAGATTTTAGTAAGAATATACTAAGAATAAAGTACTGTGTTGAGTGCAGGGAATATTTTGAATAACAACATGTTTTAAATAAATGATATTTAAATGTACATTGAAGAAAAATCATTTCAAATCTCCTATTATTATCACCATATTGTAATGATATCATTAAGGAACTCAATTATTGTACGTTGTGCAGTAGGATAAAGTGCATTATATTGAGGTACTTGATGCGCTCACAGTGTATTTCCCACTAGATTTGTGACCTAGACCTAGTAGATGTAAGAACTCATTCGATATCAGATTGTAAGAATGTATGCCCTAGCAGTCATTTATGTCAAACAAAATAATTGGTCTATTCAAATGAACACTTTCCAAACACAAGTTTTATTTTTTATAAAATACTATTTCAGCCCTGCAAGTGGTGATGAATTCCATCCTGATGGCTCTGATACCGCTGATGAACGTGGCAGTCCTCATTCTCTTCTTCATCATCTTCTGTGCTATAATGGGCATGGAGCTGTTCCGGGGCCAGTTCAACCAGGCATGTGCGGACATGCACACAGGTGAGAACCGAGAACGGCGTGTCTTGTATTCTGCACCATATACACTGTACTAAACTGTGCACTGTACATTTTATATTGCACTCGGTAAACTGTACACTGCTCATTATCTAGTGTAAACTAATGTCTTTAGTTTTAATCCTATTTTAGAAACTCTGTCCAATGTCTAGATTCTGAAGCTGCGTACTCTTCCATCTCCCGAATACAGAGTTGCCTAATACAACCTGCTTGTGATTCCTACCTTGTAGCTTCAACAAAGCTGTGTATTTTGTACCCATTGTAGTTCTATAAAACAATTCTGTAACTATGATTGTATTAGGGGAGATCCCAGAGAACTACAAGCATCCGTGTGACGAGACGCTACAGATGGGGTTCATGTGCCCCCAGTCCTACAACTGTGTGGACTGGCAGGGTCCCAACGAGGGTATCACCACTTTCAACCACATTGGGCTAGCTTCTCTCACTGTCTTCCAGATCATTACCCTGGAGGGGTGGACTGACATCATGTACTGGGTAAGTTCCTACTCCTACTCCTACTCCTACTCCTACTCCTACTCCTACTCCTACTCCTACTCCTACTCCTACTCCTACTCCTACTCCTAGCTTCTCAAATATGTAGTGTTTAGTTGAACCTAAACATACATGTGTATTTAAAATATAAATTATACCGAGTGGTATTTTCATGTATTCTATATTATAGCCAACCGCAGCACTAGTCGAGTAGTATTTTATAAGTAACGTTATACAGGATAAGGCAATCACTGTTAGTGGTTCAACAGTACCCAATATCATAAAATTGCTGAGCAGAGAGCAATATGCTATTTTTCCCGTATCCTATACACCTCTATGGATGTAGAATGTACACCAAAAATCTGCTCTCTCTCCCATAATTAATTTTACAATTATGATAATTATCTCTGATCCATGCATATTGCATGTTAGTACAGGGAAATCCGTCTGAAAAAATCGATCTGCTGACACACGAAGCTTACAAAGGATTTTTGACGTTTTTGAGTCCTAATAGGTGCCCTCTATGGCTGACCAACTTTTCCAAACTTTTCCACGTGGCTTAAGGCCACTTTTTGCCACTTTACCACTTTTTACCACCTTTCTTGTTTGTCGAATATCTTTAGTTGTGAACATCGTAAAAGGTTGCGAATCAATCGAGTGTGTTCATATTATCAGGAAGAAAAACTTTTGTTCAAACAATTTTTACGTCAGATAATAAGTTAATTGGATAATTATCAATTAACCAATTAGCAAAATTCTAAAAATTTTTTATTGGCTAAAAATGATCGGAATAGCTTGAAACACGGAGAAAAGTAGTTTTTAGAAAAAATTTGAAAATTGTTCACTTACATTTTTTTTTCGAGACTTGGAAAAATTTCGAAAATTCAAAATATTTTTTTCCGCCAAAAGTGATCAAATTGCATGAAACGCGGAGAAAAATGATTTTCAAAAAAACTTAGTCAATTTTTCGTTTCAAGAATACTTAAATCACCAATATTTGTAGTTGGAGTTCAGTAAATCTCGGCAGATTTTAGTAATAATCAGGAATTACTAACTCTAAGTGGAAAGGTCTGAAACTGAAAAACGTTAAGTTTAACCATACGATCGCGATATAAGAGTTTCATAACTAATTACAATACAGCCTTATCGATTTTCACAGAAACTGCACCAATGGCACAGTCAAGATCGAAACGATAGCCTGCTGTACTGTCATTTTATTGATTTCAATGATGTGGGGTTAAGATAATCACATTTGTAATAAATAAAACCTCTCTGTACCGTCAATTGTGCTAATCTAAACCGGCCTACCTGTATTACCAGACCTCTTCTTTTCCTCAACAATCAAACCGAGTTGTTCATATCGCATTTGGTGGGTGATGTAAATTAAGTAATAATACATATCGAGCTATATTCAATCACAATACGACACAATGCAACACGTGTATATTATATTATGGCCCTTAATGAGGTATATGAAACGTTCTATACCGTACACTTCTCGTTTCTCCCGTGAGAGGCCCGATATGGAGAGGTTTTACAGTTTATCACGAAAACGTCTACTTGGTCTCATGGCTCTTTGATAGCTCAAAGAAGGCAAGAAAAGACCAGAAAGCTTAGAATGTCAACTCGCAAGAGCGGGCTACCGGACAACTGAACCCAATTTAGACATTTAGATTAACCCTAACTCTAACCCTAACCCTAACCCTAACCAATTAAGCTGATTGGTTAGTGGGAACTAGGTTCAATTGGGTTCAGTTCTCAGTCTTCGATCTGTCCCACATTAATCCCGAGCTGATCATCATGGGCCCCGAATATCCTGCGGGAAGAACCTGTATTTTTACTTCACGACGTCCGGATTTCAAACCAACATCCTCAATAACATTAACAATCCTTCCTGATCAGGATCTGTCTCTATTAGCAATTTCCAAAATATCCTGACTCTCGTGGAACATTTCACTGAATTAATTATTACCGGTTCTTTACTACCCCTTGCCCGACACTGTACTCGTATCTAAATCTTACCCTTTCCCGTATGTTACCCTTGTTGATTTTACTTTTAGCCGACCCTGACATATGGGGGTGATTTGAGGTATCCCGCAAATGAAGCGGTATGCAGTACAATACAAAACAGTCACAGTAGTTGTTGGAAGGTGTATTTACACTTGCTTCCTGGACCTGGCTGTTCCTCAGTTTCCCTGATCTGTTCTTGCCCTTCTTCGAACTGTAAATGAGCCATGAGACCAAGTAGACGTTTTCGTGATAAACTGTAAAACCTCTCCATATCGGGCCTCTCACGGGAGAAACGAGAAGTGTACGGTATAGAACGTTTCATATACCTCATTAAGGGCCATAATATAATATACACGTGTTGCATTGTGTCGTATTGTGATTGAATATAGCTCGATATGTATTATTACTTAATTTACATCACCCACCAAATGCGATATGAACAACTCGGTTTGATTGTTGAGGAAAAGAAGAGGTCTGGTAATACAGGTAGGCCGGTTTAGATTAGCACAATTGACGGTACAGAGAGGTTTTATTTATTACAAATGTGATTATCTTAACCCCACATCATTGAAATCAATAAAATGACAGTACAGCAGGCTATCGTTTCGATCTTGACTGTGCCATTGGTGCAGTTTCTGTGAAAATCGATAAGGCTGTATTGTAATTAGTTATGAAACTCTTATATCGCGATCGTATGGTTAAACTTAACGTTTTTCAGTTTCAGACCTTTCCACTTAGAGTTAGTAATTCCTGATTATTACTAAAATCTGCCGAGATTTACTGAACTCCAACTACAAATATTGGTGATTTAAGTATTCTTGAAACGAAAAATTGACTAAGTTTTTTTGAAAATCATTTTTCTCCGCGTTTCATGCAATTTGATCACTTTTGGCGGAAAAAAATATTTTGAATTTTCGAAATTTTTCCAAGTCTCGAAAAAAAAATGTAAGTGAACAATTTTCAAATTTTTTCTAAAAACTACTTTTCTCCGTGTTTCAAGCTATTCCGATCATTTTTAGCCAATAAAAAATTTTTAGAATTTTGCTAATTGGTTAATTGATAATTATCCAATTAACTTATTATCTGACGTAAAAATTGTTTGAACAAAAGTTTTTCTTCCTGATAATATGAACACACTCGATTGATTCGCAACCTTTTACGATGTTCACAACTAAAGATATTCGACAAACAAGAAAGGTGGTAAAAAGTGGTAAAGTGGCAAAAAGTGGCCTTAAGCCACGTGGAAAAGTTTGGAAAAGTTGGTCAGCCATAGAGGGCACCTATTAGGACTCAAAAACGTCAAAAATCCTTTGTAAGCTTCGTGTGTCAGCAGATCGATTTTTTCAGACGGATTTCCCTGTACTATGTATAATTGAAAATTATATTATAAAAGTATATCGTACATTTTCCGTTCATGATGTAATAATGCTAATTGACAGATTCCTCGTGAAGAAATCTCAGAACACTGTATAGGTTATTTTTCTTCCCTTTTTCTTCCCTTTTTCTTCCTACCTTATCCGTCTTACCTTATCACTCATTCCCCTCCTTTCTCTTCCCACTCCCCTTCTCCATCCATTGTTATCCCTTCTCCTGCCTCACCCTCTCTCCTCCCTCTTCCCTATTTTCCCTCCCTCCTCCCTCCCCCTCCTCCCTCCCCCTCATCCCTCCTCCTTCCCCCACCTCCCTCCTTCCTCCCCCTTCCCCCTCCTCCCTCCCCTCCTCCCCCCTTCTCCCTCCCCTCTCCTCCTTCCCCCTTCTCCCTCCCCCTCCCCTCCTCCTCCCTCCTCCCTCCCTACTACTTCCCCCCTCCTCCCTCCTCACCCTCTCTCTCCCATGAGACACAGTGCTGTTACAGACTTTGGTTATATTAATAGTACAATACATGAGCTGACGCTCCACATAATATCAAATTAACTAATAATAATACAAAGTGGTAATTCCGCTGTGTAATCACCGGTCAACCACGTGACCACATAACGACCCTCCCATTGGGTGGTGGTGAGAGTCATCTGCGCTCTCATTGGACAGCAGTTGGTGTAATTGCTGCCGCTGCCGATCACGAGATAATGTATTTAGAAAAGTAATGTACTGATCCTAGTACTGATATAAATATAACAGCTGAGTCGGCTGCTTCCCCGGTCAGATTCAGGACAAACAAAGGAGCGAACCTCTGAGTTGTAACAATGACATTTGGTTTTCTCCCAAAGCAATAAAGCATTATATTATTGTGCGGCCTGATGCAACAGTGCTATCATTCACAATGTACTGTGTGGACTGTGCAGTGGAAGGAGCTTTAAATATAGCACATTAGCTTATAATTGTGTAATGATAAGACCGCTTGTGCGCTGTTAATTCTCCCCAAGTTTAGTACTTAATAAGTACTATTAATTATACTGACACTGTAGTAATATTAATTGTACTTGCAATAGGGTCACAAGCAATCAAATAATGGAAATATGTCAGCCGAATCAAATAAGAAGCGGACCAGCTAGTTACTTCCAAACATTCAATTAATTCATAAATTTATAATATAGACTTAGAAGTAAATGTAAAGATTGGTTATTAAGGCAATAATAAAATGTTATTTCAAACCAAAAGTTATGCGATTAATATGTAACAAAGTTACGACTGCTATTTAAGAAATACTGATAACTAATGAAACTATCCTCCTCAGAGTATGGACGCTATTGGTCCAGAACTGCCACCACTCTTCTACTGCAACATAGTGATCTGGGGAGCCTTCTTCATGCTCAATCTGGTGCTTGGTGTGTTAGCGGGAGAGTTCTCCAAACAAAGGGAGAAGATTGAAGCTAGGTTTGTTCATTTATGATGCTTCAAACTAGCCAATCAAAGAGCTGTATTTTAGACACGTGACTCAATTTAGCAGCTTTGATAGTAAAGCGACATCATAAATTTACTTTAAAATTAGCTTATTTCTTTAAATACTGCGATTTGACCGTGGTATTTTAGGAAGGAGTACCTACGAAAGAAGAGGAACGACGATTACAAGAAAGAACTGGAGGGCTACGAGTTGTGGATCAGAGAGGGGGAGAAAATATCCGAGTGCGAAGCCATCAAAGAACAACGTCGACTCGGTAGATTGTCTTTATATATTATCCTGAAAAATAATAAAAGAAACCTTTCGTAGTTGTACCTTATTTTAAGTAAATTGCTCCAAGCAAGTTTTTCAATTCTGCTCTCTTTTTAGGAGGTAAAAACTCATACGATGGAAACCACCTAGAGGATAGATATGAAGATGTTTCCAACATATCTGAGGATCAAAGAAATAGCTTTGCGCGTTGTTGGCAGGACCTCTTCCCCTCGCTGCGTGAACGCAACCGGCTCCTCCGAGAGCGCACCGGTCATATGGTCAAATCTAAATCAATGTACTGGGTTGTGATGTTCCTCGTTACCATGAACACAATCAGCGTGTCATTGAAGTGGTACGGCATGCCCAGTGAAATGAATGGCAATATGAAACACGTTGAGTTTGTTTTTACCTTTATATTTATAATAGAAATGACAATAAGAATGTACGGCCTGGGGATCGAACAGTACTTCAAATCAAAGTTCAACACATTCGACTTCACAGTCATTTTCGCTAGCTTATTCGAACAATTTTACGTGCAATTTTTTAGTGGTGCAGACATGGGCCTGACTGTGTTCAGATCGCTGCGGTTGTTAAGACTATTTAAAGTAACTCGGTATTGGACGAGTTTGAGGAATCTAGCTGCGGCCCTTCTCAACTCCCTCAAATCAATTGTCAGTCTCTTGTTCCTTCTCTTCCTCTTCCTCCTTATTTTCGCCCTACTTGGAATGCAGCTTTTTGGCGGACATTTTGTTTTCGCAGAACAGGTTCCTAGGGTAAACTTCGATAGTTTCCTCACTGCTCTGCTGGCGGTCTTTCAAATGCTCACTGGAGAGGATTGGAATGTTATTATGTACAACGCCATCAACGCCCTGGGTGGTTCTAATAATTATAAAGGTAATTTGAATTCTAATACAGGGTGGGCCAAAAGTCAGTACCCATACGTTGGCCTTAATAGCTCCGCCGTGTGTTATATTTGAGAGCTGTTGCTTTGCAGATGGCATACTGTACTTACTGGTTCGAGGATTCCGTCGTCAAAATTTGAAAATTCGAATATTTTAGACCACGCCCATTCAATATTAAAACACCTATATTGTTTTCTCTGAACATGCTGAACGCCTAATTTTTTCAGAGACGGTAGATTATTAAATGTTGCATATGATCTGAAAACATGAGGCAAAACGGATTAGAAATGACGAAGTTATCAAGCATTTTCTGTATCTCGTTAACAAAATTGACTGGGTGATTATGTGACACCGTGACACAACACCTTAATTGGGCACCCTTAGCAATTCCCATAATGTTTAACGGGGTAGTTAACGGGGTCACCTTATCACGTGATTAGGTAAACCAATCACCTGATCACACGTAATGAATAAACTCGTTATGCTTCATATCTCGGTCATCTGAGAAGCTACAGTTCTAATTCTTTCAGGACAAACGTAATTCGAATGGCCAAACACAATTCAATAACATTTAGCTTGATCCGACTATCCAAACTATCAAATAAATGTGAAAATGAACCTCCATTTGAAAAAAATGAACACGAATATTTTTCGAGTTGACAAATTCTTCGAACCAGTGGTGGTACTAAGTCATACCAGAAGGAAGTATTTAAATTGGGTACTCAGTGACTGAGCTATAAAGGCCAACGTATGGGTACTGACTTTTGGCCCACCCTGTACTTTACGTCAAAAATCATTTAACATACATTTCTAATATAGGTATGCACTATTCAACCAATTTGTCAATGAATGTGCCATTAAAACAATTCTTATTAATCATTCCCATGATTTCACATTTCACCGTTATCTAATTTACCCCCGCGCAGGTGGTATTTGTTCCATATATTTCATCGTATTTATGGTGATAATGAACTATACTCTCCTAAACGTTTTCCTGGCCATTGCCGTGGATGGTCTGGCTGATTTTGAGGTGAGCAAAGCAGCCTTCATTACTCATTGTCATTTGTCATTTGTCATGCTTTTGGAAACTGTAACGTTTATAAATTATGTTCCTGCTAGATTGGTAATAATGTAATGACTAATGGTGAAATTATATAGAATTGATATTGTTGACGGTAGGGAAGTCTTTCGACTTTTCCAGCTATCTTCAATTGGGATGATTGCGAAAGTTAACTAACCAATAAATTATTAACGGTCGCATCGATTGTAAACAATGTTAGATTGGTAAAATAATTGATCGAACAAAGGAATTCGGTATCCTCAGATGATGAACGATGCGGAGAAGGAAGACGAGAAGAAAGAAGAAGCGGAGAAAGATGCAATGATGCAGGAGCTGCACAACCTGGATAACGTGGACGAGGGAGATGATGTTTCTGTGTGAGTGATCACGCCTCACTACTTATCACACATTAGTGATCACGCCTCACAACTTATCACACACTATTGATCACACATCACGTCTTATACTCTCAGGTATTGCTCTAACCTATCTGTATCCAGTACTCCAGTACAGGTGACCGCTCTAAGTTTTATAGGCTTCAAAATCTATCATAATATAAAATATCTAATGATTTTTGCTAAATTCAATTTTACGTTTCATAATGTATGCCAAGTCTATCATGCGTTTTTTCACGTATATGAAATATGGATTGGCTTCTAAAGTGTAAACTGAAAGGAATAAGTGCTCATTGATATTGCTTCATAACATGTTAGTATGTGCAAATACCTGTGTAAATACTGGTCCTAAATGCCTGAACATTCCAATTAAGGAAAATTGAAAGTATTTGACTCACCATAAACTCACTGAGAAGTTAATTAGTATGATACAGATAGTGCTCATATTAATGTTATGTAATGCGCTAAATAATTTGTTGTTAGTGTTAATTGATGCTGGGTTAATCGGTTTAGGAAGTTGCGTATGAATTACAACAGATTCACAAAATTTTGCAGTTTCATACAAATTTAACCGGCAAAATCTAGCACTGACTGGTTAAGCTGTGGACAAAAATGCCAAATATTCACCCAAACGACCAATTATGTCAGTTAGAATCATAATTTATCCGAAGTTAGTTTCTGTGATATCATTAGTTCTACACCATATCAGTATCAAAACTTTTACTTGCACTAGTGTACACATTAAGGAAATGTTCAATTTCTGTCGCATAAAATATGCGACTTTTAGACAAGTAGACATTACCCCACTATTTTTCTCTAAAAAGATTGTTTTGTGAGATTCAATCGTCGAAAACAACGAGTAGTCTATGTGAGAAATCGTAGAATTGTAAATCCAAATTCATGATATCAATTTCGATTTCAGCACCCGCCCAGCTTCAATCGAGCTGAGGAACCGCAGCGCAGCGTACAAACAGGACTTCGGAGATCACGTGGACATGCCCATCTCCATCGAAGACAGCGACATGTCGGACGAAGACGGTTTACCGGAACACGATCCGGATAACTGGATTGGACCAAAGTCTGCGCGGTCCTGGCACAGTGATGGGTCCCGGTCGCGCCGCACTCCGCGTCCTCAGACCACTACCGTACCTATTGTCCCTCATCCTTCTTTCTTTATTTTCTCTTCCACTAACCCGTGAGTGTGAAAACAAGAATTTTAGGACGGACTTGGATCAAACGACTTATTGCCGCCCTCTTTTCTTATACATATATGTCGACTAATTCAGAATCAATCATTGAATTGAGAATAACTGCAATTGTTTTCTTAAATGTAATGTTCTTTTATTAATCCTACATTTATCCCACGTTCAGATTGAGAAGATTCTGTCACTGGATTGTGAACCTGCGCCACTTTGATAACTTCATATTGTTTATAATCTTACTGTCATGTATCATGCAGATGCTACAAAACCCTAAAGATCTGGAGTCGGATAACAATAGGGTTAGTTTGTTCATTTCATTAATTAATTAGTAAATCAGGGGAAGGAGCTCAAAACACTCCGCAGTCGTACACTATAAACAGTCCACATTGTCATTAATACATTCGGCAAATCAAACCTTACCCTTACTAAGTACAAGTGTCCATGTGTGTGCTGTACAGATTGGTGTAGTCAATTAAGAGCAATCAAGTGATTAGTTACGTGTAATCAAGTGATTAGTTACGTGTAATGACATCTCTAACATGACAACTCTCCCACAGTTTATTGAGTACCTGGAGTACGGAGTCACTGTCATATTCTGTCTGGAGATGATACTCCGTGTCATAGACCTTGGTTTTGTCATCCACCCTGGTTCCTATCTCAGAGATCCGTGGAACGTTCTCGACGCTGTGGTGGTTTTAGTCTCCATACTAAGGGTTGCAGTGTGAGTTTAGTTTAATTATTTCTAGAGAAATATTGGCGTTCTGGATTGATATGATAATTCAGTAATTTATAAAAATGATGACATTACAAAAATAGATATCTGACCATTACAATACATACCATGGTCTTGAAAATTTCAGTTTAAAATGCGTTTAGGAAAGATTTTATCGGCGCAAAAGCCTAATTGGTCGGGTTTTAGGATGATTTTTGGGATTAGAGCCTAATCTTGTCGAATCATGTTGGGTCATCATCAGCTGACACAGGTGACTCGACCACACACGCACACACACGCTGAGTGTAACCAGTATAATGGCACTGCTGCCATCACACCACCAAAGCAGTGTAATTGACAGCAGTCGTGTAAATGTTTTGTCCCACCAGGTTGTTATACGTGACAATAATTAATTAGCGCAAGATATGTTCCATAATTAACACGAACTATGTAATAACATGAGCGGGCAGTCCCGCGCCTCCCGCTCCCAGCCTCCTGATTGGCTCTCCCCGGGTCACGTGCCTCACACGTGACCCCACATTCAGCTTGTTGTTCGTTCTAAAAACGGTGTAAATTTTCTGATCTATTAAGTTATTGCGACGGGTAAGAAGACACATTGTGCACAGTGTGAGCCGCCTGTTACTATTGTGTGGGTAAGGGAACTCTGTGTGACATGACACTACTGTACTAGTACTTACTGGATCACAATGTACACTACACTATCCCGACATGTTATTAACATAGTTCAAATAGCTGGGAACAAGAATGCCATCTCCGTGGGAACCAGAGTGGACTTGTTAGTTAGATGAGGGACAAATAATATAGCCAGTCTACTTCTGCTCTTCTGTATTTGGTGGTTCCGGGAGTGTTCCCTGTCATTTTTGACTGGAGCTTCTAAATTGTGCCTGGCTGTGGTAATTACTACAGAGTACAGTGTTTTTTTTTACGGAATCCACAACTTTCTTTTACTGGTCTATTCTTCGAAATTGGTAAATTCCTTACTTGTAGTTATTCAAAGCAATCAGTTGAGAATAGACCAGGTCGTTCATTTTAATGATTGGAACCAATGATTATCTTAGATAATCGATTTAATTAGATACTTATCCTAGCTAATGTGCACAAATAATTATCGGTTTATCGGACAAAAATTAGATTTTACGATCGGAAGAAAAAGATCAAATTCAACCGAAACACGAAAATTGGTTTTATGCCCAGTTTTATTTACCAGTAAATATATAAAATAGACAGAGTATTTACGTTTGAATTGTAAAAAGTAGATGATATGTTAGCACGGTCTTCTAAAAGGAACGCTCAACTGCTGCAGCTGAATTCCGTAATGCTCTCTACTTCAAGTTCCAGCTGTGTGGATACCAGCAACTTTACTGGGTACTGTTGAAGTGCGAAATATTACCTTTCGATGCTGGAGCCTCAAACTCTTCACTGTTTTCGTCTAATAATCACAATATTGGCTCCTCGTAAATGAATGAAACACCAGTACATCCTCATATAACGTTTACATGTCCTGAATGTTTTAACAACTGAACTGAAGTGTAATAACAATGTCCCTTATTATCCCTAATTATCTAATTATCTAATTATATAATTATCTGTTAACCACAGGAAAGCTCCAACAGTAAAGCGGTTAACGAATGTGATGTTGTCGATGAGGTCGCTGAAGTCCATCAACAGGATACAAAAGCTGAAGAACGTGTGCCTGTGCCTTATCAAGAGTGTCGGATCCATCCTCAATCTCCTCCTTATTGCCATCCTCCTTACTTTCATGTTCAGCGTGATGGGCGTTCACATGTTGGAGGTTCGTTCTGAGCGTTAAATCACGTACGGACATTATTCAGTGACGTGAATCTGATTGACGTTGTCAATCTTACTTACATAGTCTCTCTATATTAATTATAGTTAGAGTAAGTTATATATTTAATATGTGTATTAAATATTATTTAGTAAACCCTTGAAGTCAATTCTGGAGAAACGTCTACGTGTGTAAGATAAAAATTATCCTTTGTTCGATCTATCAATCAATACAAATGCAAAAACGGCAGAGACAAAGGCTAAAATATATTTAATAAATCGCAAAGATTGGCCAGTCTTAGAAAACCGATCAAAATTTTGGATTTCATCAAATAGTTTTGTCCGAGTTTGGAATGTATCCAAAATAAGGTTCTTGCTATGCCCAGCTAAATCTCATAACCCACTATAATATCTACTTCATCGTCGTTTTTATATTGTATATTTGAATCGCATATATCACAGAAGACTAGGTTTTTTGTAAATTAACCGAACGTATTTAAATTTTAATGGAAAAGGAATAAATGCTTGAAAATGTATAAAATGATGAAACCAGGAAATTCTTGAACATGAACATTGTATACGCTCAAAAACGGTGCATATTTTCTCTGGTGGCTTTTGTCTTCTCATACGTACACTGGATGGATATGTTACACGGTTTATTATGACCTTTACGTGACATATTACCAAGACCAAAGCAAAGCTCTCCCCTGTCGTCAGGTTTTTGTGAATTATCACCTCTCGTTGACATCAACCCTGCGACACTTCTCTCCCACTACTAGTATACACTTTCACTCCACACATCAGGCCTTATTTTATGACAATGTTGTATACTATAGATGGTTGTTGGTATTAGCTCTATACAAATTAGTAATTACTCCACTATTCTTACAACGGGACATAACCGGTCCGTTTTGTGAAATGACGAGCGCGCGCGAAGCTTATCTCATAAGCCAACCGAGCAAAATTGGATGTTTACGTTGTCATTAAGAAAACAGCGCTGAGCCGCGCATACTGCGCGTTGACGTTACATTGATAAGTAGTCCTACCCTTCGATCGAATTGTATTGAGCTAGCAAAACAGCGATAGCCGATAGGACGTCAAAAGCTTGTAAGTTTGTAATTAGCATGCAAATTGCGGTGTGCTCATTAGTTTTGGTCTCCATCCTACTATATTTTTAGCGTTAAGCTACTATAGTTAGTATAGTACTCCATTTCTCATGAGATAATCGAAGTATATCGCAGCACAAATAAACATTTCATCTTATAGTTTCATGATTTCCATTAATCATTAATTCTCGGAGATATGGCCTGAGTGACCTCCAGGGGCGCTCAGTCTTCGCTGGCTCTATCTATGCTAGACTGCAAATTGAAATATCAAAAGAAATTACTACATAATGTTCATGATCGTTAATAACGACATCATTTTTCAGGGAAAGTTCTTCTTCTGTACAGACTCGTCCAAGAAAACTAAACAAGAATGCATGTAAGTCTGTTAACTTGATACAATCCCCAAATTTTGACCTTAACGACGAAATAATATACCTGATTGTCTAATGTTTAATTATTCAGAAGAATCCGGCATTTTTTATCAACTGAAACTTCTCAGGGGCTCTTACTTTGCATTTCCCTCAAACGACGCGGAGAACCGGAAGGTTGAGGAGCGGAAGTGGCAGCAGCACTTCTTCCGCTTTGACGACGTACAGTTAGCCATGTTAACACTGTTCACTGTCGCTACATTCGAGGTTAGCTCACTTCCCCCGAGAATTTTAATTAAAAGCATAACTTGACATTCCACTCGCCACTAGCTGTATTTTGATGTATTCAATGCACAATATTTATTGAATTGTTTAGGTTATAATCTAACAAAGTAACTAGCTAAATAGCGAGTACATTAATTTACTGGATGACCAATTAATCCATCAACCTCAATGTTTACTACTACAGGGTTGGCCAGACGTTATGACGAATATGATGGACGCAAGCGAGAAAGATCGGGGTCCGATAGAGAACGCTAACCCGGCCCTCTGCATCTACATCGTTGTCTACCTCGTCGTTATGTCCTTCTTCATGATCAACATCTTCGTCGGTTTCGTAATCGTCACCTTCCAGGAGAAGGGCGAGAAGGACAATGAGAATTCAATACTCGATCGGAACAAGGTTTCTGATTTTTACCCCCTCAGCATTTAATTTACGAAGCCTTTTAGTAAGCTATATAAAAACGGGAATTAATTCTTCGAAGGAGAAATGTGCAAACGACCTAGACGTGTAAATGTAATGCAGGTTTATCGAACAAAGCAAATAACAATTTACCCGCAGCGGAGTTGCATTGAGTTCTCGCTGAAGGTGAAGCCCCAAAACAAGTACATTCCAAACAACGAGGAAGGGCTGCGGTACAAGCTGTGGCAGGTGGTGTCTTCCAACATCTACACCAACCTTATCATGTTCATCATCTTCATCAACACTATCCAGCTCATGATGCCTGTGAGTAGCTGTTGTACGGTATAATTCGTCACTCAGGAATTGTTCACGAATATTGTTAACAATATGTTGGCTATTACTATTAGAACATATGTCAATGAATGCCGCTTCGATATTTTCGACTTTAATTGATAAGTGTTATTTATTTTTGAGGAGGGGAATTAGTATTAACTATATTCAGGCTGGTGTAAGATTATAATGAATTGCTATACTGCTATTCGGCAGCGCAGTTACAAGTCTGTCCAGCTTTTCATCTCGCTCATTGTACGACCCACGACCTTCCAAACAATTTTCTAAGGTTTTATAAATCAGTCATAATTTGTGACTCACAACATCATCTTTCTTTCAGTACCACGGTATGTCAAGTGGTTACGAGACGGCACTGGAAACGGTCAACGCTATCTTAGTGGCTGTCTTCACCATAGATATAATCCTGAAGTTGGCAGCGTACGGGGTCAAACAATATTTCCTAGGTGGATCTTGGAATGTGTTCGACTTTGTAGTCCTCGTGGGTTCTTTTGTTGACATAATGGTCAGCACTTGGTACACTGTAAGTCTATTTTACTTATTCCCTTTATAAGATTTGTTTTCAATACATGAGGCTTTTTTTCGAGCTCATCAATGAGACGCATTAACCGTGAAAGGCCGTGTCACTGTATTCTAACTTTGGTGTTAATTATTAAAGCACCCAGAAACTTTATGTCGGAATTTCAGGATGACACGCAAGGAAAGGTAATTTCGGAGTGCTTGCATTTCTTCCTTTCTGTTATATATACATCTGCTAAGTTATCTCAATTTGCTATTTCTTCCCCTATCTTCCATGTGATTTTCATTTAGTATTAAAAGGCTGTCTGAAGCTTCTTGAATACCTCTTAACTTATAGCTCCTACCAACTGCTTTACCAAACTTTTGAGCTAGAAAAATGCCGTCGGCGCTATCTAAGTCAAGTTAACCTGAGTGAATAGTGAATATATAAGGGCTATTAATGGGTTTTCTGCTTGTTTATTGATTGATTGAATTGGGTACCTACAACCTATAAGTAGCATGAATATTGAATAGTTTGATAAGAATGAATTTAGTGAAGCCGTGAGATGATATATTGATCATGGAAATGTGGATTTTGCAACAAAAAACACTGCTAGTCTCTCTATTTGATTTTTCGTCCAACTTACTTTTGATAGTGTCACCTGCACATTTGCGCCATATTTGTTTGTTTTTGCAACAATCTCTGAATTTACCACTGTTCCATGTATAACAATGTCACATCATCGAAATTCTCAACTAACGGTTATCTTATCATACTCACATGCTCTTCTTTCAGGATAATTTCATGATATCTCGGTTGGTTAAGATGTTCCGCGCGGCTCGACTCATCAAATTGTTGAACTACGGCGGTGAAATGCGGACCCTACTTTTTGTCTTCCTCAAGGCTCTAAAGAGTCTTCCCCATGTCATGTTCCTCGTGATGTTGACATTCTACATCTACGCTATCATCGGAATGCAGATATTCGGAAAGGTGGAAGCTGATCCGGACAACAGCCCAGACTATGTCATCACCAGATATAACAACTTCGAGAGCTTTCAGAACGCCATGATTCTCCTTTTCAGGTGACAATTTTTGCTTTATTGTTGCATGGCAACAAGGTGTTACAAATCAGTCCTGCCACTATTATATAGTTTTAAGCATTTTTGGGTGGCTTTAATAATCAATAAACTCATCGTTAACATGTGAGTACAATCGAGATCTATCCAGCTACTGGAAGAGAAATGGAATGTTCTCATATAGAGGGTTCTGTGCTATCTTACTATCTTATTATTGTATTCTGGTCTCAGCTTGTTATAGCTAATATTTACACGCTTGTTCTCTCAGATGTTCTACTGGAGAAGCTTGGCACGCCATAATGCGCGACCTGACCCCTGATCGAGCGTACTGCGGCGAATCCTCTACAGAGGACTCCAACTGTGGGTCCTCCTTCTCCCAGATTTACTTTTGTACTTTCGTCATCACCTCCCAGTTCCTTGTCGTCAACCTGTTCGTCTCCGTTATCATCGACAACTTTGATTATCTTACCCGGGACATGTCAATAGTTGGTCTTCATCATTTAAATAAGTTTGTTAGAAAATGGGCTGATTTTGATCCAAAAGCTTCGGGCAGAATAAAGCATGAGGATGTTATAAAGTTGTTAAAGAGGATATCACCGCCCTTGGGGCTGGGTAAAAAGTGTCCAGATCGTGTGGCGTACATGGTGAGTTTCGATTCCTAATTATTCGTCGAGAGTACATTTTTCGTCATCCTTTCAGATATTAAAATGAACAAATTCGACAATCAGCATGATTCGTAGTTTGAGATTGGATAATTTTACAGATGCCTGGGATTACTATTGATCCATATTCCATACTCTAATCATTGTATGTTCGAAAGACAAACTGTACTAACAACAGCTAACAAAATTAACGTTATTGATTTTCAGAGAATGATAGGAATGAACATGCCGCTGTTACAAGACGGCACAGTCGAGTTTACCGCCACTTTATTTGCTCTTGTAAGAACCTCTCTGGACATCCACATGCCTAAGGGAGTGAACGCTGTTTCTGATATGAATAAAGAGCTTAAAATGGAAATCTGCCGAACTTTCCCTGGAATGCGGTCCAAACTTTTGGAAAGAGTGCTTCCTGTAGATGGTAAGTTTTCACATTTCCTGTAGATAGTTCGGATAGTTTCATCGGATAGTTTCATCATGATTTGATTATGATCCTATTTTAATTGCATTAGAATTTATTGCGAATTTTATTAAATTTCTTATTCATAGCTCTATGATTCGTTGGTAGCCTAAAATCTAACGGATGTCTCCCCACAATAGAGCCAGGCAAAGAAGTAGAGACAGTAGCCAAGATATACGCTACTCTTATGATCCAGAAGTTTTACAGACATCTTCAAAAGAAGCGAGAAGAGGAGTTCCAGAAATCACAACAGCAGCCTTTAGTGGTGAGTTGGTCAGCTCCACACACCTCTGTTTTGTCACTTAACTTACCTTCATATATTATCATTCATTCTGACAAACGCCGCGTGATAACTAATTTGCTAATTTGCTAATTGCTAATTTGCTAATTTGAACAGGCGGGTCTGCGGATACCCCACGAGTTGAGTAGACCTTTAAAGAGACAGATATCAGGTGAACTGGACCTGGAGTCTGACGATGATGAGTATAATAACATAAGTAAAAAGGTACGCTTTTCATTCTATTTTTCTTTGTTGAGGTTAGGATAAGGTGGTCATGTATGATGTACCGACAGACCGCTATCTTTACATCCTGTTTTCAATACCTAGGAGAAGCATGTGGCCTAACAGTGGTTCGCTTGTATTTATTACCGTTGTAACATCTGAAAACTGAACCGGTGTTGCCCAATAGCCCCGGAATATTTATATCTATAGATGAACTATAAAAATAATAGAAAATAAACTCTATTTCCACTCCGTTACAGCCAGTACACAGTATAGTAAGCAACCTGTTTAACTCCGTAAAACACAAGCGAGCAGACAATTACAGGGGTACGGGTTCCACACCCAAACTTCCCCATCGGACATCTTCTAAAGACATAGAGTTGGGGGAACTCAACAACAACAACAACAACAACAACAATAATTCTCCTAATCTCTTAACAGGTATTTAATTATTCACAGCTATGATATGTTCATAATTATGTTGCTGACGATTTAGTTTTCATTATAATGCTGACTATCAGCTAAAGTTTTGCTATGGTGTCGACTGTCGAGGTGTTTATCAAATGTTGCCATAGTAAATCAGATGTTGCTATAGTAGCAGTACTATGTTGGCATAGCAACAGTACATAGTTGCCATAGTAACAGTTACACTGTCTCTTTCAGTCCTGTCCTCATCGCCGTCAGGAGACATATAGAGCCGTTAGAGTGGGGAATAGCACTACACACTAGGGGTAACCGGGTCACATGTCACTACACATGTTGTCAACCCGCACAATACGCAGCCAGTCTGTCCTCTCTCAGATCATTGTTTAGTCACGTCACACATCACGTGACAGAATGGTGACGTCACGTGACAGCGTGATGACGTCACGTGACAGCGTGCTGAAGTTAAATATGACAGATTGTCGAAAGGACCTGTGCTTGTACTGAATCACAGGGTTAGGGTTATGTAAATATTAGATAGTTTATTTTCAATCCCGATTTCAAATTGGTTTGAAATTAGCCGTTCATCCTATAGTCATTACATACATGTTCACTGCTTGAAACATATTTGATTCATCACTGACTTTATAAAGAATTTATGATAAGATTTGATGTTTAAGTTAAATAAAAGAGTTTTATGGTATATAATGTATTATGTAAAAAGATACCTTGAAGATGACGAATTATACGAAATATATTATTGTAGGGAGCGGTCAAATGATGTTTAATGGTAATATTTGTGAAAAAACGTATCTAATTCCAACTGTACAGAACAATAACATTGAAAATTGAAATGCATTTCGAAGAACCAAAAACTTTAAAAATTAACTGCGAAGAATTCAATGATATGTAAATTGTAAGTTTTTAGACCCACAACACAGTACTATCAAAGTTTTTATTTTCGCATCTTTAAATGATAGCCCAGATATCATTACACACAACTTTTAACCCTTAATTATGGCCTAATTATACTTTTTCAGCCTCTGCTTTGACCTTTTATTGTTCTACAAAGCTGCCGTGTACATTTATTTAGTAAATATGAGCACCAGATATAAGTTATGCCAGACCTGTATTTACTCGCCTGTTCTTGCGTTTTGTGATCTTGAAATGACGCCAATACATGAAATAAATTGAGTACTTTAGCTTTGAAGAAATAGCTAACGAGTATTTATGATTTTATTTTTGACTATTTTCTTTTTCATTGTACATGTTGGCTTTTACTTTGTCATAGCGGGGGGGGTACCAATGGCATAAATGGCATAATGGAGAATTGGCCAAACAAAATTTCCATTTATGCCATGAAATTTCTATGCCATTTGATGATTTTTATGCCATTCTTCTCCATTCTATGCCATTCGAAATATGAAATTTTAAAACTTTGAACTGAGAATTTAATTTAACGAATTGTCTGCACCCCACTAGTACTGTCCACCTTTATCTCTATTTATTGTACTACAACATCTATTTTCACCCATTAAATTCCTCAAAATATCCCTAGCAATGGGCATTATTGATTATAATTACGTTCAATGAATATCAATGTATCAATATGATATGATGATTTGGTTGATTGTGGACAAGTGACCGGGCAGTATGGCATAGTACACGCTACACACCGTATAACAGAGAGGACAGTCGACTGAATGCTCCCAGTCAATCGGATATCCAAATTAACAGTGGAAAACTGTAACATTACCAACTCGATTAAAATATTATTTGTTAATGATGTGTACAGATGTATCGTGTCGGGACCGTGTTCATGTAGAATGTTTTGAAATTTAAACATTTTCACAAGATTGATAATGATCTGTGTTTCGAATGGGTAGCCTCTTCGAAACACAGATCATTATCAATCATACATAACAGTTCACCAAATGACCTGAAATACTTGCTTCCTATTATACAAAATTATGATGACATAATATATTGCTTAAATATCTTCATATTCACTGCTGCATAGCAACATAGCACTCCTTAATTAGTTTTCTATAATAACGTTAATCTAGTATAATCATTGTAGGATTTTGAACATCTCACAATTTGGGCTGTAGGACTGTAGGGCGTACTTGGTCAAAAGTAGGACCCTAGAGCGGAGTCAAATCGCCAGGGTAGGAATCTAGAGCGGAACCCCCTTACCGGAACCATACTATAAGGACCCTAGAGTGGAGTCAAATCGCCAGGGTAGGACTCTAGAGCGGAACTCCCTTACCGAAACCATACTATGAGGACTCTAGAGCGGTACCCACATGTAAATTTTGGAGCGGTTAGAAATTTGAGATCGGACTGTAGAGTGGACGTTTGGTCGGAAGATTGAAATCAGATTAGATACAACTCGTGATTGATTATTATAATAGTGAGATTAGAATAATTCATGGAGTTGTTGAAGCAGAAAATTGTCCTAGATTATTTATATTATACATCATATCATATTGTAATTTTTAGATACGTTAGACAATTGTTCGGTATAAACTTCTTCCATTTGACTGAAATATCCTGATGCTACTCTAAAATGCAAAAAGATTCTTTGATAAAGAGGTATAATTATGAACTGGTCGATGTGATTTCGCTAAGCGAAATGCCGACCAAGTACGTGCACTCAAGCAGATCATTTAGGAATGAGAATCTCATCGCGTGACACTTTAGCACCTACTAAGGGTATCTCATGTTCAGTCTAGTGACAGGGTATGTTCCAGATCAGATCCCATCGCATACTGCATAGCGGTTCTTGTTAGTGATTTCGATAGTGCAGTATAAATGTCACAGAGAATTTAGTTTAGTATATCACATTCGATTCCTACTCCTCTTTACAACTATCTACAATATGCTGAGTAACAGTTATAACTTAACTCTTCCTGAGAAGGCCGTCTTCATCCGGGGACGAACAGCTGAGATGGGTACGGGAGAACGGACTGAAGAAGGACTACGACGAAGGAATTAACGACCCCCTTACCAATTCCTGGACTTCAGGTCCTGTTCGAGTGTGGATACGTAGACTTATGCACTATGCAGCTTGCCTTTCTCTCAGTGGACGATGTTCTCCCTTCTTTCATGGAGCTCCTAGATCTTATACCCTCCCACCTTGGCCTCGACGACTTCCTTAACTACTTCATGACGAATTGGGTACAGGGAGTTTCCACCGCTCGTAGCACCAAACCTGCCCGCTTTCCTCCGCAATCCTGGAACCTCGTCGACCGGACTACCTGCAACTTCAACAAGACAAACAACTACGCAGAGGCCTTTAACAGAAAGTTTGCAGCAATGTTGGGACACTCTTACCCAACTATCTGGACCTTTCTTCTAAGAACAGTCCACTACAGATGAGATGATGCTCAAGGAGAGTTACGGGGATGCTCCTCCTGCAAAACGAGCCCGTCAGCGTACCAAGGACAGCCGACTGGCACATTTAGTAAAAGTCTACGACGATCATGACATTGTCTCACTCTCCCACCTTGACATGTTGAGGACCGTGATGGTCGAGGAGCTGAGTGAACTATTTTCAGATATTTGATTCGCAGTATTAATGTATAATAAGTTGTATCAATTCTATCATCATTATGTGACGACTATTATTAATCATTGATTAAAAAACATAGCTCAATCTTCAAAACTAACTTTACTCTCAAATTTCTAACCGCTCTAAAATTTGCATGTGGGTACCGCTCTAGAGTCTTCATAGTATGGGTCCGGTAAGGAAGTTCCGCTCTAGAGTCCTACCCTGGCGATTTGACTCCGCTCTAGGGTCCTACTTTCGAATTTGCTTTTCTTGAATAGTCAAATGTTTGGTATATGTTTGATATAATACATTTCTATTTTCTTTATTTATCATATGAATCTTTAAAGATCATTGCAAGCGTTATAAAGCATGAAACATGTCTCTTATTCAAGTACTTATAATAATTTGTGAATTTAAAGTCATCCTAAAGGTCAAATATGAAGACCTAAATTCATGGCATAAATTGGCATAAATGGAGAATTGGCCAACCAAAATTTCCATTTGTGCCATGAAATTTCTATGCCATTTGATGATTTTTATGCCATTCTTCTCCATTCTATGCCATTGGTACCCCCCGTCATAGCATTAGGGAGCGTTCACATATGACGTCAGCAAGATTTGGCAAATTTTAACCCCTCCCCCTTAACTCCCTCCGTCTTTAGGCTTAACCCCCTCCGTCCTTAGGCTTAACCCCCTCTACAAAACTTACCCCCTCCCGTCACTCGTCAGCCAGGGATGATGATTAATCACTCGCACTCTACAGTCGACTGTCACGTGACTTTTTTAACACGTCCTCTAAGTGTAGTGGCTCTGAATGACTTTTCGAAACCCTCTAATCTGATCCTAACCCAATCCCAAACTAAAGCATATGCATTATGCTGAAACCCTAACCCCAACGAGATATTAGGCCAACTTCCTTATATGGTCATATCACGGGATCGAGACAGGTTTTTGCCGATATCTCGCTAGGGGAGCATTTTAACCGTATGTCATGTGGGGTGATTCGGAATCAGCGTACGAAAATACAGCGAATCAGGTAGATTTCAACTGTCCTTTTAGTAGGGGCCCTTTTAGAAAAATCTCCAAGAACTACAAATAACTATAAAGTGATTTAACACGCTCGTTCAGCACGCGAGGGTATTTTGAAATAGTGACGGGGGTGCAGTAGCGGGTGTACTTGTAGGCAGGGAAAATTGTCTGACTTGTGTGAACACCTAGTTTGAGCTGGTCAACAGAGTTCTGCAGTTCACCGAATGCCGAAGTGCTACAAATATTAATAAAATAAGCGAAGTTTTATTTTAGTTTTACTGTCATACTTTTGTAGATTTACAACCTACCAGGACGCGCGCCGAATTGGACTCGTCGACGGTGATCCAATATATGGAACAGATATTTTAACGGGTGATACTCGTAAAATATTTGTTCCATATATTGGACCGTCGACGAGTCCAACTCGGCGCGCGCCCTGGTATGTTGTAAACCTACAACAGATATTTTACGAGTATCACCCGTTAAGCTTTTACCGGGGATCAAAACTGCGCCTATTCTTACCTGGGGACCTCAGGCTTTTATGTTCATAAACATTGAATAGAGATTTGGCAGAATGACAGGCTGAGCGCGGCCCAGTAACGCCTACACAATCCCAACCCTAACCATAACCTTAATTGACGATGTCAATTCATCGCAGCTCGGCGAGGCACAGTAGCGCATTTCGCCGATCTAGCGATAATGGATAAGCCTCATTGAGTGCGCAGCGCGGCATGGGTTGACAAGAATGCAGGAAGCAAAAATTTCTTCGAAGTAGCGCGCGCCGCTTTCTTTTTTCTGGCAAGTGCTACGAATTAGCGCGCGCCGGGCCAAATCATTAACAATGGTCAACAAATAAAACCACTATAGGGCCGCACACTCGTACGCGACAGGTCTACAACATCAAAAGTGTGACAAACTTATTGACTTACAGACTAGCCAGGCCCGGCGCGCTAATTTGTAGCACTTGACTCGTTTTACAAGCAGATTGTAGCGCGATGCACTACTGGGTCACGCCGCGCATCCCTCGCAACCACAGATCGGCGAAATACGAAGGATTGACATCGTGAATCTTGAAGATTTATAACCTGCCAGGACGCGCGCCGAGTTGGACTCATCGACGGTCCTGGAACAGATATTATACGAGTCAAGTACCACCCGTTAACGTTGTAGCGCGATGCACTACTGGGCCGCGCCGCGCATATTCTCTAGATCGGCGAGATGCACCACTGGGCCTCGCGCGCCAAAAGCTAGGAAAGATTGACAATGTGAATCAACTGTTAACGTGAATCAAACAAGTAAATCAGATAGCAAAAATCTTCCAAAATCTTTTTTATATTTTGATGGTCTTCCGTTTATCACATACCTTAAATTATTATAGACGATCTTCTTTTATCCTCGTGAAATTGTAAACAGTTAGAGTTAAATTTCATTGTTTTCAAATGATTCAGTTTTGATAATTTTATTTATCCATTTATTCATTCTTGTATATCCAAAACGAGTCCGTTAGTGTTCTCTCTGGTAATTTCATGTTTAATCCTGTTTAATCCTTTAATCTTGTTTAATCATAAACAATAAAAGCTTTCTTTGGAAAGAAAACTTTGAGTGCCTCAATCGTGTTTTGTGCCATCAGCAGTGACCTTGCAAAAAGGTCATTCAAAAAAATTCAGTCAAAACATGATGATGATGATGATGATGATGATGATGATGATGAAAATCTAAATATTATAGGCTACAATGAGCATTCTAGTAACAAATACAGGAGGAATGGCAACTGAGGCTTCACAGTTTCTAAAACATCTCGCTGAAAAGATCAGCCTAAAGAAAGGCCAACGGTATTGTGATGTGATGTCATTTGTCAGACGCAGACTGCGTTTTGACCTACTCAGAACCTGTATAATCTCTATCAGGGGGTACAGAGGTACCAGAACCCTTCCACCCACGGCAATACGTGATTTGGACCTTAACCTGATCAACACTCTTAAACCCTAAAAGGTCATGGAGTGCTCTAGTTGGATGGGGGTCTAAACTGCTTTTTGTTGTGATGTGATTTAGTGGATTTTATATGTATTATTACAAAGGGTTTTATTTTTATTTTTACCTCAGTTTTTAAATTTGTACCACTTTTACAGAATTTTATATAGGGTCATTGCTATATTATGTGTATTATATTGTTTGAATATTTTATACCAAAAAAAATATTCTAGTAACAAATAGTATGATAGATTTGTAGGTTTACAACCTACCAGGACGCGCGCCGAGTTGGACTCGTCCAATATATGGAACAGACATTTTACGAGTATCACCCGTTAAATGATAGATCTGAAATAAAAAATAAAATCCCTAAAAATATTTACACCTCAAGTTAAAAACATAAATACTTTACTTTTAAAACACTATCAAATAAGTCACTTGTGTCATTACGACGACGTTATATCAAGTCAAAATGTTCCCCAAAATAATTTGAAGACGATTCCTGATCGAAAACCTTTTTGGTAGAAAAAGTTTCTCAAGCTACATAAATATCAATGGAACACACCCAAGTAAAGCCCACAACAAGGTAACACACCCAACAATGGTTGAGATGTTTTAATACTTTCAACACTACTATATAACAAATAATTTGAGGTGCAGCTTATTCCCCGGTGGTGGCAGCCCAGAGGGCACTCAGCACATCCCCCTGATCAATCCACAGTCATGAACAGAACCTTTTTTTATGACACAGTAATTTATTGACACTCACAGCTATAATTTTAATCATTGAATCAGTATTTTTATCTATTAACTTATTACATATTTGTGCTCTGCTTTAGCATCACTTGACTATTAAAGTTCAGGCCATGACCTTATAGTCAGCCAATTGGCCATTGCTATATTATGTGTATATTGTTTGAATATTCTGTTATTTTTAGAGACATGGCTCATATTAGGACTAGAAGAAAAATTGTTAGCGGACATTAGGGGTTCTGTTTATAGTTGTTACTATAGGTTGCAGTCTTGTTGTGAACAGAACTGCAACACCACCACTCGAAACCAGACGCTCGCCCAGAAACACCTCTCCTGCAGCATCTGCTAAGGCTAAGGCTACCTCACCTCATTCCCCTAAAGTGTCTAATCCTCTTCGCAGGAAGAGCCCCCTCACAAGCAAGGCCAATCAGAAGAACCCTGCAGCCAGCATCTCAGGACGACGAAGATCAAACAGCCTGCCAACTAAGTCAGCTGATAAGCAGGTCACTGTTTCCTCACCGGGACTATCAACATTACAGCCACCTACATCTCTTACCCTAAAAATTAGTCCTAGCCTCATAATAGACCCTGGCGGCCTAAGGGGTAGTCCTCACAGCCCTATGAGTCCTATGTACAAACCGTTCCCACCCTTCCATACTGAAGAAGAAGAAAAAGATCAGCCAAGTCCAAAGCAACGTGCCATTAAAGGTAACTGTCCCTGTCGAGCAAGCTCTGAGGGCAAAGAATGGCTTCTCAAATGTTGCAGGTGCTCTCAGCATTGGCACGCCTCTTGCAGTAACCTTAAGGGAGCAAACCAGATTGGTCAGATTGATCTTGATGCCATCCTTCAGTACTGGGAATGTCCATGGTGCTTCACGTCAATCCATTCCAAGCCAAACAGCAGCACCTCAGCTAAATTGGATGAAGCTCTCAAGTCTAGTGTTGACTACAGTAAGAACATCCAAGCTGTATCTGATGCCATCTCAAGTGCTGTATCTTACAGCATGCCTACCGTGGAGATTTCATCGTTGGAAGCAAGACTTTCGCAACTGAGTGGAGAGATCCACTCCTTCCAGAAATCTAGGAATCATTCCACCTCTGCCTATGCTGCAGCAGTTATACAAGAGAGTAAACCATCAGTAGCTCTCCCTAAATGTGTAAGGGTGCCGTTAAAGGACTACCAAGTAGACATCTTGGATGAAGAACTGCTTGACGAGGTATCCAGATTTCTCACTGAGTGCAAAGAATCTGGTAAGTTTAACCAGATGAATGGAAGGTCAGTGCTCAAATACGGCGAAAGCTACACTTATTCCGGAGACTCAAATCCCCCGTCCTCACCAGCCATCCCACCAGTATTATCAGCAGCCATTGATAGAGTCACTTCTCAGTGTAAACTCACGCACAAGCCTAACTCTGTACTTATAAACTACTTCCCTCCAAGTGGTACAGAGGAAAGTATGTTACCCTTCCACTGTGACGACGAGCCAGAGATTCTTGCTGGCTCTGATATAGCAACAATTTCCATAGGAGAAGTTAGAAAAATAAGTTTTATGCCCATCCATGAAGGACAATCACCTACAAAAAATACTGAAATGTCCCTAGAATCGAACTCAGTCTACACCATGACACGTTTCTCACAGGCATGGTTCAAACACGGGATTAAACCCACCCAACAGACTCCGGTAAACCCGTCTATGGGCCGGTATTCCATTACCCTTAGAGCAATTGACAAAAAATTTAGGAGAAGCACCATCATACTTGGAGATTCGAACACCAAAACAATAAAGTTTGGTAGTGGTGCTGGAACAATGGGTCAATCATTCCCGGGTGAAAGAGTTAAGGCAAGCAAAGTTAGTTTGATTGACCCTTGTCACTGTATCGGATACAGCAACGCTGTTCTTGTTTGTGGTACAAATGACCTCCGAGCAGACAGCCTTAGAGGAGAAAATTCAATCCATCAGCTGGTTGACATTCTCCACATGAAAATCCAACAGATAAAAAAGCTCTCCCCTAGGATCAAAGTTTTTGTAGCAGCAGTCCTTCCAACCAGGCTACCTCAAATGAACGAGAATATCATGACCTTCAATCGGCTTGTTGGAGAAATGTTGAGTGCCAACTTTAACCAGAGTGTGTGGCACCTTGGAGTTGGACACTTTTTAGATAGCAAGGGACTCCTTGCCACCAACCTGACCAGAGGTGGTGATGATATTCACTTAGGAGTTTATGGTATTACCAAATTTGTGAGGTGTGTGAAGCATTGGGTGTATGTGAGAGAGAGGCAAGAACGGACAAGACGTGGAAAACACAACCAGTCAGTGGGGTCTAACAACCCCACTTAGTAAAAATGATTATGAAAATTATTAAAGATGTGTGTGAGCCATGCAGTAGATCTATTAATATCGGACAACCTTTACTAGAGTGTGAAAACTGTAATAATGCCATTCATACTAAGTGTTTCAAATCAGCTAAATATTCATGCAAAAATGGACTATGGATGTGCTGCGAGTGTGCCAGTTCTGCAGAAGAACGGTACTGCCCATTTCCATCTGATGAGGAATCTATTGATTCTGATAGATTCTATGATAATAGAAACCAGGAGGATGCCTTAATTGCATCATATGCCCATGTACTTGAAAGTTGCCGTCGCTACTCTAAACTCGAGTTCTTAAATGCAATCAAGCAGCTCAATTCCTCAAAAAAATCTATGTTATCAACTTTATTCTACAATATAGATGGAAACGCATCTAACTTTGATAGCTTCCTAATTGAACTCAAAAGTATAGGGCACTCGTTTGATATGATTGGTCTTGCTGAAACCAATACTGATCCTGCACAGCAGGGTCTGTACCAAATTCCAGCATACGCAGGATTCTATCAAGAAACATTGGCAGGTAAGAAAAAAGGCACAGGTGTTGCACTCTATGTATCTGACCATTTAAACACTGTGGTCTTAGAAAATGTATCACACTGTACTACAAATATTGAGAGTCTCTTTGTTGAAAGCACAGATAGCGCAGGCTGCAAAATTGTTCATGGAGTCATCTACCGACCCCCTAATGGCTGCTTTGATAGCTTTTGTGAAACCCTTGAATTACTTGCAAAGCAGCTAAATGGGAAAACTGTCAATTTGTTGGGAGACTTTAACTCAAACATACTTAATATATCTACCAGTTCCCAGCTCTTTGAGGATACTTTATACAGAAATGGCTTTTACCCGACTATCTCCATTGCAACACATTTTCGTCAAAACTGTAAAAGTTCCTGCATCGATAACATTTTAACAAATAAAATTGAGAATATAGTCTTATCAGGTGTTATTGAAGAACGGCTTGGTGAGCATGCCCCTATATTTACCTTCACTTCAGTAGAGACCCCTCGCAATACAGAGCCTCAGAAACATGTCCGCTATTATGATTACTCAAGTTCCAAATTAAAAAGCTTTGTATCTGAACTTGAGGTGAGGGTAAACCAGCTCACTCCTTCAACAAAATTTGATGAGTTCACGGCATGTTTTGACCAGACACTTGACAAACACTGCAAACTGGAGGTACCAAAAGTGACAAAAAGAACTCCCAAACTTAACCCATGGATTACAGACAGTATCATCCAGTCTGTAGAAAGAAAGCATGAACTGCGTAAGGAGTGGTCTGACACCGTTACTAATAAGAACCCTGGTGGTAATTTCTTGCTCTACCAAGTATTTAGTGATTATCGTAGGATGCTCAAAGCTATCATTAAAGCTGCCAAACGTTGGCATTACTGTAACGAAATCGTAAACAACTGTGAAAACAGCAAGAAAACCTGGCAAATTATTAACGAACTCAGGGGCAAAAAGAAGAGGCAAACCAAGCCCCCATTTATCATTGATAACCAAAGAATAGTTGATAGAAGAGCAATTGCTAATGGATTCAATGCTTGGTTTGTCTCTATTGCACCAAAGCTGAATGAGACACTGCATAATCTATCTGATGGCCTGCCTATATTACCCATGAAAACTTTCTATGACTTCCTGAACCCAAGAAATGAAAAAAATATTAGGCTAGAAGATTGCTCCTCGAACGAAATATTGAAAATCATAAGCGAGTTCGAAAATGGTAAAGCCAGTGACATTCCCATAAGTGTAGTAAAAAAGTCATCTCATGTAATTGCACCTGTATTGTCGAATTACTTCAATATCCTTATGACCAAAGGTATATTTCCTGATGTCCTGAAAACTGGTAAAATAACACCTGTATATAAGAAAGGTAACCCAGAAGAAATTGAGAACTACCGTCCCATCTCCACACTGTCCGTCTTCGGTAAGATCTTTGAAAAGCTCATATATTCTAGAATATACGGATTTGTTAGCTCCCAGGGAGTTATATCGAAGACGCAGTTTGGATTTAGGAAATCTCACTCTACATCTCATGCAGTCAATTACTCTGTAAATTTAATCACGAAATCTCTTAAACTTAAGAATCATGTTTTAGGAATATTCATTGACCTAAGCAAAGCTTTTGACACTATCGACCATTCAACACTTCTTATAAAACTAGAGGGATGTGGAGTGAGAGGAGTTGCAAATAACCTCATTAAAAGCTACTTGACAAACAGGCAACAATACACCGAAGTTGTAGGAGAAAAATCAGATACCCTATCTATTCAATTTGGTGTCCCACAGGGTTCAATTCTTGGACCTCTCCTATTTCTTCTTTGTATGAACGACATCACAAACAGTTCTAAACTAGGATCATTTGTTACCTTTGCTGATGATACCAATATATTTGTTGTCGGAAAAACAAAACGTGAGGCATATGAACGAGGAAATGAGCTTTTGTCATCATTAAAGTCTTATATGAGAGCGAATAAGTTACATATAAACATGTCTAAGTGCTGCTACATACACTTCAAACCCACCATGG